CAATGTGTCGAAGAGATCAACCAGCACACTTGAAGACAGGAAATCTTGCATGCAAGGATGGGTCATATATGAGGCATTGCTGAGAAGTCTAGTCAAGAGCAACAGCATTGATATATTGCAGTCATCGAGCTCTTTCAAAACCGCTTCGATATGCTTGTATAAGGCCATGTCTATCGCAGACAATCGATGCTCTCTTAATTAAACGAGCCGCGCCTGCGGCGCATGCTGAGAGCTTAGCTAAGATCACTGGCGCTTTCCTGAATGGGGTGTCACTGGTAACGGTGGCGTTTATTTACAAATGTTTTCCGCCAGCGGTCGTGGAGAGGCAAGCCAGAATAAAGTTTACATAATCACATGACTAAATTAAGTAGGTATCGCGTGGTTCTCACACGATTGACATCTAGCCACTTGCCCTAACAGATGCGCCGCCTCGGAACGACCGCTGGGTAGGAGCGTGCAGTAGTAGCCGCGTCCCAGGTAAGCGCGCCGAACAGCCCTGGGCCTAATAATCCCCACTGACCAGATTTGATCGAGAGCTTGGTGAGTGCCGGGCTTAACCCCAAGGTGTCCATAACGTCCGAGGCATTGACGCAGTCCAGATCTAAGTAAAGCTGTTCTAGAGAACATTTCGACCTCTCGATCATATTGGTTATGGCAGGATAGTCGGGGATGCGTCCAGGAATACTCTCAAACGCGCAGGGACCCACGTCGAGTACATGTAGCTTCGGCAGCACGAGGTGGTCAAGAAGACGGCCTACGTGATTGAACTCTACCTTGAGTTTCTGAAGCTCGGGGAGAGTAATAACCGATCCCCAGTCGGAGAAGTCAGCACCATGGCGTGCGTGGAAGACCAGCTCGCAGGAGGTAAGGTTGGGGAAACTTTCAAGGGCCTTGAGATGGCTGAACTCGCTGATGCCTCCCTGAGCAGTTAGCCTTGTCAGCCGCTCAAGCGGAAAGAGCGTGATCTCCTGACTGCGATGCCAGTTCCAGGTGTAGACCGACAGGCGGGTGCAGCGTGGGGCGCGGTCAACTAGTGCGGCTAGGTCGATCATAGCCATGTCTTCGCTCGAAGGACTACCGGGGAGGCCGTACACACTGGTAAAGCGAAGGGCAACCCTCTTCAACCGAGGAAGGGGCTCTGCCATCTTCTCCACAAGGGCGGCAATAGTGGAGGTAGAGGCGAGTACGCGGAGACACTGGATCATCGGCGAGAACGAGGCGAGCACGTCAAGACACGGCGCGTTGAGGCTTACGTCGAAATCGGACGACAACGTGACAGTGAGGTCGCAGGCACCGGCGCGAGCAAGCCAGGTGCGCATCATGGTCGCATAGTCGAAGGTGGGACGCGTCATCAGCACGGAGAGAGAACGCCACAGCTGGCCGCACGAGAGAGCAATTTCTCGCCACTGTCGGGAGACTTGGGCGACGGACAAAGGTGCAGTGGTAGGATCTGGTTCCACGAAGTCACCAGGCAGGAGCATCATGAAGATCGAGAAGACCAATTCCGGAGGCAACCTGTCCGCAGGATCGACCCTCACAATGTCGGCTTCGGAGGATTGTGCGTCTGGTGTGATTCGTATATTGCCGAGGCGTTTCTGTACCCCTCGAATCCTGATCCGTGGTAACTGGTCGAACTCGTAGACCATATCATCGCGGTCCTCTGGGCAGGTTAGAATCTGAAAGTAGCATCGCTAAGTATCATTTACTTTGACCTCTAACGTGTCCACTCACCATCTTCACGAGAAACTGGCCTACTAGTATGAGATAGGCAGCGAAGGATGAGTGCGACTCAAACATTTATATACCTATCTGGCGCCACACGCGATCCGGGTGCCACAATGTGGCCACACGCCACATGTCAGAGAGCAGAGCAAAGCGTGATCGATAAGGACGCATAAGGACCAACTATCTACGATATTGTGACGCTTACTTCAAGAGAAGTGGCTCGACGACTCACCAGAGTGGTGTGGCACAATAGCCGAGACCATGACCGCCTTCGAGTCTCCACTATGCCTCGGGTGCCCTCGAAGTAGATTTAAGCTGGCATGAAAGTAACGCCAAGCCCGGCGTGCACTATCGGCGTCCAGGGAGGTCTGTCCTCCAATAAAGCATAGCATAAAATGACTTGACGCTATGATATGCCGGGTCTGTGAAGTCTACATCACTTTCGTTCTAAATGCTGCAACCGTTCCTTGAGATATCAAAGACTATATAAAAACAATTTCACATCGTAGGCTTTCTCCTCCGACAACTGTATTCGCGCTGATAATTAGAGGAGTTGCTAACCACTCGTCGAGCAGGGGACGCACCTGATCCTCAACCAATATTATATTGTCTTCATCGATCATCTCGCCCATGGTGGGCGGAATTGCTATGGCCTTGTATTGTGTGAATTGTTCCGCGTGGCTGCCATTCCCTCCGATGGTCCCACGTCTTGCCCACTCTCTCTTCAAGCATATCGGGTTAAGATCCAGAACGTCCGCCCAGAAGAACCGTTTGATAGTGGACCGCACTACCTTTCGTTGCACGAAAGAGTGCAGGACCTTTGTGCCATGGATCCAATAACACCAGATAGTCGATGGATTGAGTTGGGGGACGTTTAGCACAGTGTCGCTTGCCCAGTACGGCCAGACATAGGTCGTGCCTACTTTCTCCGGCAGCAGCGAAACGAGCGGGAGTAGTTTCGGAAGCGGAATAAGGTACTTTGTGCTTTGCACTTGCTCACTATCCTCATCGGGACCAGTATCAAACATTACACCCAGAACCCTACGGCTTGGCGATTTGAAGAAAGGGATGTCCTCATCTCTGGCTTGTGACCATGAAGGCGATGGCTCGCCTTGAATTGACATGGAACTCCATAATACCGGATATAGTGCTTTCTCGTAGACGAACGCACAAAAGTAATCCAGTCCGTTCCACTCTCTCCTGCCGGCGGTAGAGTGCTCGGATAACTTGTAGACCTCCAACCTGGGAGAGCAGCCTTAGGCGATCCCGAGTAGGATGTGCTCTTCTGAGAGGAATGTGTATGCCTCGATCGGCGAATTGATTCCGTACATGCGCTAAAGTCTCGTCAAGAACATAGACATCTAAGGATGTCGGAGGACTTACAAACAAAACAGTCGCGGTCCTCCAGTTGTATACTATTATATCCATGTCGCCACGGCGATCGTCGGCCGGTGAGTATTCGAACATGATGCCGAGTCTGTCGCCGCAAAATTGTATATTGAAAGCGAGGACATCATTGTTGGGGGCCTGAATGGATGTGACGATTACTGGGTTCCTCGCGAATGGATGCGCTTCATTCCCGGTCAGAGATCGGATGTGGATCCTGCACGGTGCGAAGCCACCGACAGGTGGCCTTGGGATAGCGGGAGCGTGAGTCAAAGTACATCTGGCTTGAGAAAGTACTGACTCCGGAAGCAACTCGAGCATCACGAGCAAATCTTGAGATGGATCCATCTTGAAGTCACGTATGGGGAAACCCACATCTTCGATTGTCCACTGCTTGCCCTCTACTCCCCTAGCAATGCCACGCAGCTTGCGAAATACAAGCGTAGAAGGCTTCTCCCGTTCAGATAGACCGAGTACGCCGCCATAAAGCTCCCAAAGGTTTCCCGTCAGCATGACAGTCTCAACTTTCGGCGAGAAAGACATTGTCTTCCAGGATTCCATATGATTCTTCAGCTGCTGAAGGCGTTCGGTACGCTAATAGCGCTAGGAGGACCGTCCTCCATACCAGCCACGGCCAGTTCGATCTTGTATTGCAGAACGACGGAGTCATCGATGATGGCTTTCATATGGCGGCATACCTAGCATCTCCAGTACTCAGTGCCAGCAGTGCACCTTCCTGTCTCAGCAACTAACCCTCTTGCACGATACCTCTTGCACGATACTAAGGTCCCCAAGTCGAGCTTGTCAAGAATTAGAATGACGAGTTCCGCGGCGATGTAGAGAAGGCCATTCGATGAAGCGACGAGATCCATCGTCCACTAGATGCAGCCACGGATTCTGAGAAGCATTCGGGTGTAGGTGTAGAACGAAAACTTGCAATTGCAACTTCGACTGAAATCTTGTCTGCTCTCTTCCTCCACTGGCAGCGGGTATCCTGAGTTTGCTTTGCGCCAATATTAATACTTCCAATCCACAAGAGACTTCCAGTCGGCTGAGTTTGGCATGCAGTCGCAACAACCGGCAGTACTGTTTGGGACCGGATGTCCGTTTTCGGATACATGCGGAGCCTCATGATTGGTCCATATAATCCCAGGAGGTTAGATTCAAGATATTCCAAATCCTTATGCCGCCCGCTCCGGAGTCTGTAATACAGAGTGTCGCTTGAAGCCGCCGCCTACGCTCGCCTACGTCGTCGGGCGTTGTCGGCGCTTGCCGGACTACCTGATCGGGAAACCAAGCACCTCCATCCCGCCCTCCCCGACGTCGCTAGTGACAGCATTGTTGAACTAGGCGCTGACTTAGCTGCCAGGTTCTACAATGTACCAGAACGTACCGGAACCCTCTGGAACATTCTGGTATATTTCACTATTGTACAAAGGCACGGAGCTCATATGGGTCAGTGACATCATAGGTGGAGCTCACTAGGATTAGGGATATTCCACGTAGCTTAGTCAGCCTATGGGCCACAGTGTATATAAACCCTGCAGCTCTGCTGCCTAATGACAAGGGTTGTTTATATGAGCTTTACTAGTAGCTACAGCATCCAAGCAATACAGGTGAGTTGTGTAGGGCGCACTGTGCGTGCTGCTGCCTCCATAACTCTTCATCACTTATTATATTAGCAAGCCGCCAGGACCGCCCTGGTCCACGCCTGGCGGCGGTGCCGATGGATTCAGGGTGCCGGACGGTGGCACTGGCATCTGACAAAGTGAAAACAACACCTGACATCATCCTTGGGCTCTGAATTGAAACTACATATCAATAGGTGGCTTGAAATAATGCTTTGATGGCGCACGAAATGATTAGTGATGCCGCAGTCCGGTTCCCAAACCTGGGAGAACCGGTTTGAACCTCAGACCAGATCCAGGTTCTGGTCCGCGGTTCGGCTTTGGGGTGGACCGAACCTGAAATGAGGTCCAGGTGGAGCCACAATGCCCAAACCGTACCAAAATATGGTAATTTTGAAGGGTTCGAACCCGAACCTGACCGGACCCAACACCATTTCGGGTTCTTTGAGGTTCACGGTCCGGACATTTACCTGAACTGGACTTTGGGTCCGGTCCCAGGTCCGGAAATTTGGGCCAATAACCGGACCGAGCTGGACTGCGGCATCACTAGAAATGATCTACCAGTGGAACACATTTGCCTGCTATCGGGTGCATGCAGAACGGGTGTAGACCGGGATAGGGCAACGGGGAGGCGTCCGGACATGAGAGGATGTCTAAGTTACTGGGAACGGACAGTCCGCGGACAGTACTCAGACAGACCGTGGACAGTATCCGGACAAGTGAGGGGAAACACCAGATCTCGGTAAACGGACTGTTCACGGACAATCCGCGGACAGTCCGAAACTTATTCAGTTTCGGCGGCTCCCACGGTCCCGACGCTATCAATGCGCCCGACGGTCACAAGACTACCTTCTGCGCCGTCCGTAACGATGCCCGACCACTCCTATCATTAAAGGCATTCTCACTAAAGTGGAACGGCACAGGATCTATTGCTAAGCCAAGCCGACATTGCAGCATATATTTTGACATATTAAGGGAGAGTTCCTGCCAAAAACTGGTGTGTCAGTAGTCACCAGTAGCGTACACAAGGATCAATGCATCCATGCCACTTCCATACAATTGTGGGGTGTGCAGCGCAGGACAGCGCCAGCCTCGGGCGGGAAAGCCATCATAGGCAAGAGTCGGGGCGGTAAACTATCGATCCGGATACAGGCCGGCGACTCAAAGGACGCACGGACAGTCCGCGGACCCCTGCAAGATTATCACCTGGACAGTCCATGGACACCTTTGGGATAAGTGCATGACGTGTGCGCGTACTGTGCGCGTACTGTCCGTTCCCAGTAACTTATACGCCGTCGACAAGTCCAGATTTGGAGTGGCTGCCGGCAATCATTACTGCTCGTACATCCTCCCAGGCTCCTAAACCATCCGTCCTTAGCATTCTCTTTGCTAGGACGCACATGCAGTGTTATGCAATACAAATCTATTTTTACTTTATTACCGGATACAGAACGAACAAGAGGAGGAGAACGCTATAGGACGGCTGGCACAAATGTCGCCGCCGAGATCCCCGAGGCTGACTAAGTGGACGGTGGCTGAAGCCTTTCACCAGCGGTTGGCGGGCGATGTAGAGAGCATCTCGACACCTACCTCGTTGAGCTCACTCAGAACACATATAAGCGGGTGCTAAAATGGTTCAAGACCAATGCAAATACTTTTGGTATACTTCTGACATTCAGAGGGGCTTGTGTATAACAATTATGCCTCTTCAGCCGGATATTCAGCCTTCGGTACTACTGATAACCATTGCAGGAGTATACCATTCAGTTAGGACATTTTTACATTGCTATAAAGTACACCGAGCGGTAAATCCCAAGGTAATAAGTTGTAAATGGTTGCGTGAAGGCCCGCCAACCGCTGCTGAAAGGCTTCAGCCACCAGTGTTGGCATGTCATAGTCATTATTCGTGACTGTGACCGAAATGACTTCAGGTATGACCACGTGGTCACTGTAGTCACAGTCCTTTCGCTAGCAGGGCAACGGAGCTCAAATAGCAACGGAAAATGCGGAATGTTCCGCCGTATTAAATTTAGTGTGATGTTTCGCACACCACGGGCAAGGATGTTGGCATTTCCCCAGATGGTCGACCCCACTGGGAGGTCACACCGCCGAACGCGTTCGCGAGCTGCAAATGCAAACGTGAGAACCACACCACGGTGCACGTGGGCGCGTGTCGATTCTGTTGCTCTGTCCACCGGCCACAGATGCATACCCTCTTGCTTATGATAAAATCTGCATAGCCTGAGGGTTTTAACTTGTAAGTTTATTGAATCAGTCTGTGAGATGAAATTGCTGGGTAATTGTAAAAAATGTGGTGAGTAATCGAAGCTGTCTGTCCAATTGGGGTCACACGAACCCACTGAAGGCCCTTCCGTGCCCTCCCCCTAAAGGTTTCCATGGTCAATACTACTGGCATTGCATTGAAAATGTGATGCCTCCACAGATGCCCTGTATACATATAATTAGTCATTGGGCATGGACAACTTGAAATTCATGGAAATTACTCTATTCACGTCATCAATATCCCTGGTATGGTACAATAATATGTGCATAACAAACTGTATTTTATGGAGTGAAAGCATAGCCGCCATTGCCTTTCTCGCTCAATAACAGTTGCGGTGTGGCGATTCCCTAGGCTCAGGTGGCGTTGCATCCCCTCACGTGCCCAGACATCCGCCGAACACGTTCGGCAGGTGAACCTCCCAGTCGCCTGGACGTTCTCCATTTCCCATTTGCCGCAACTACACCAATATGAACCTGCTAAACTGTTTGAAAGCGGGTTATGGGCTCTGCTCTGCATGCAAAAGATTAGCATTGGCGTTAAGATACATTATAGAGCCCACTACGGCCACTTAGATCCTGGTTAGTGTACCACAGGCACGAAATAATAGTTGTACCCAGCTGCCCAGGCCCTCAGCCACCATAAATGCCCCTCCTTTGAGAGGGGTTATGCCAAACCCGCAATACGTCGCACTTTTTGACCAACCGGCAACTACCGGTGTGCCATGTTTCGCTCCAGTGGCACACGGCTACACGGCGCGGACTTAGAATTAGTGGGGGTCAGAGTGGCCGGTTCTCGGCCGGTTCTGACACTCGGTCCTGAGGTCGGTCCTGGGGGCACAGAATCGTCGGTTCTCCAGAACCGACCGGATTGTAGTTACGGCTCCAGAGCCGTAACTGCACACCAGAACCAACTCCCGCGCGTGTCAGTTTGTAGTCTGTTTATAGTCGTTTATAGTCACTTTGTAGTCAATTGTAGTCTGTATTCAATTGTTTTGTAGTCTCAATTCAAATATGTTACACAAGCTCGAATAACAACTACAAACTCCATATACAGTAGCCCAGACTAAATTTACCGCAACTAGACGGCATCGGTGTCACTATACGCTACAACGGTCGACTCCTCTCCGGTGCTACGTACTGCTGTCCAGCTGTCCATGGCGGGTCGGAAGCGTAAACCAGCAACCGAGCCTACCAGTAGTGCAGGTGAAGGCGCCAAGAAACCTGTCAAGGAAAAGAAGAAAAAGAACGGGAATCCACGGAAACCCAAGAAACCTGCTGAGGCCGAGGAAGATGCACCCGAAGACGAGGCATCGTCAAAGCTCAAGATCAGGTATGCCTGAGAAGAACTCGTCTCGCCGCTATCGAATCTGATC